AATCTTGTGTGACGACTTGATAAGGAATTTAACTTATCAATCTAGTCGTTGATTAACACATATCATTACCACATATGCATTTTTTGGAACAACAACATATACAGACTTTTATGTTTTATAAAAATACGTGACTATTTTATGATCAAATCTACAGAAGACCACGTTACCAATTGAGAATTTAATGAATAGGGAAATTTGAAACATGTCGAATATATAGAATATTAAGGCATTGGAAGCGAAAATGGGTTTTGATGAGAAACATTTATTTTGTGGTATTTGAAATTTTCTAAATATTTTAACTGCACGTCATAATCATTTGAACGTAAATGTAATGATAATCACTTAGAATTGGAGAACATTGAACGCCTGCTTTTTCACAATTTCTTACGATTCAGTCATAAATGTAACATGTGATTGGTCAATGAACAAAATCATTAATGTGTTATTTGACGCAACGCATGCAGTTTATTGTAGTCTAGGTGTATTACAGTAATGATTCAAACTTTATCATGTGATATTTCTTTAGTTTAGTCAAAATATGTTGAAAGATGTGAAAATATCAAGGAGTTCACAATTAACAATATTGATACAGATTTCGAATAAGTTGGTAAATGGCTATAATTGTTGTCTGAATGCTTATCTTGTGTTTGGTTTGGTATGATCGTTATTTCCATAAGTTCAATATTTGTGTTGATCAACGTACATGGTGCATAGACAAACATTAAATTAGTATTATTTTCATACATTTTATATATAATTGTTCTGGTACAAAACGAGTTCTCACTCCATATGGATAATGAATCGACATTGGAACAAAAATCTCTGCAACTAACAATGCTGCGTCCACGTTTGTACAATACTTCTGTGTGGGTACAAAAGCATAATAAAACACACCTGAATCGACATCGAATCTCAGTTTGACAGGTTGACCGGCAGTTGATTGTGGATATGTACGACTGAATGATCTCAACTGCATGGTGAATAAGATAACATAAATGTTTAATTTTATAAGCAATATACAACGTATTTGAACTCACTATTTACTGTCATGAAATAACGAAATGAAACAAGCTACTGCATTAATGTGAAATACATATACAATTATTTAATTTGAAGACAGTGTAAATCATGACCTGATAGCTTGATAGCCAAAGGAAGTAACGAAACTTTGGAGAGATATTCTAGGATGAAATAGTTATTCAAATATTTCTAAAGGAACCATGACTAATTAGTGTTTTATCGTATCTGACATACATGAATGATCAAAGACTAATGATTAAGTAGTTATGTGACTGCAGTAAGAAGTAAAATGACTCTTCTAAAATTAATGTCACTACTGAAATGGAGTCAGCTGTTGATGATTTTCGACCAGATATTTTTATTCATAAGCTTACTTTAGAACTCTATCATAAATGACATTGAAAAAAACTATCCGAAGCGAACTGAATTCTTCAAATCAATTGTTATTTTACTGCGCTTTGGTCATTAGGGTATTATTATTAATGACAAACTTTCTCGATTTGTTTTCATGAAATGGGTTATCGTAACCTGATGATGAAAATATTTTCACTAAGCACAGCAGACGGTTAACGAAAGTCTGATATTGCCTAATACTGGAGTTTTCCGAAGTTATCCAAAGCCAAACAAACGAGGGAGGCAAATAATGTATAATTGTAAAGTTAAGCATTAATATGTATTGAAAAGTTAAAGAAATGTAGTTCAGAAGAGAAAATCAGCGATCGGACGCTCACACGATCTCTTTCGTGAATATCAGTGAACAAGAAAATAAGTGTGGTATTATTTCTGCAGAGAAACCAAAGGCCATACGAAATGTGTACGAAAAGGTCCAACTCAAAAACCATCATCACGATAATTAATACTCCATAATCATGTTTCATTGTCGTGAATTCTATAAGGTTGAGCGTTCTACTAAGTCGGATTCCTTAGTAGTTTACGAAGGCTTTCGATTTCACCAACTCATGATATATCTTAACTTACGCTTATACATGATCTTAGAAGATTGTTGACCATGTAATGGTGTACAGTGGAAATTTGTCGATCACAGAGATGTGTGTTTAGGCAAAAGACATTTGAATAGTGGTTAGCTCCTCTCATTCTTTGTTTTTTCTACACCTAGTCTTTTTTGATTGAATTGCAAAACTCTGAAGTCATGTAATGGTAGTGAGAATCACCCACAAACGAAAACGTATGCATTGGTTAGTCAGTGGACTATAATAGTTCCTGCTCCATACAAAATAGCGGGAGTGTATGTTTAGAATTCTATTAAATAAACAAAGAAAGCATTGTTGAGACAGTTGATTGTAACAGGGACCAACATGACTGAGATCATTAGTTCTGAAGAATACTTTAAACAGTTCAGTTTAGAGAGTAGTAATAGTAATACTTAAAGAGGTAACCAATGGACAGTCGGGAATTAACTAGACTTTATTTGTCCAACATTGATTGGAGATCTGATATATGAAGAAACTTACAGGAGAGCAAATACCGTACACTAGGTGGGTGTATCACAGTTTTTCAGTTACGCGTACTTGATAAATCGATTTGCATAAATTCCTTCTCTGTTCTTGTTCACTTAACTGTAATATTTCGGATAACATGAAGTTCAAGCAGAATGTAGACAATGAGGACTGGAAGAGGGATTTCAGAATATGTTCCTTACAAAGTAATTGTTTGAATCGCCGACTAAGCTCTCTGTGAATAAGATAACATAAACGCTTAATTTTATAAGCAATATACAACGTATTTGAACTCACTATTTACTGTCATGTTAACATTTTCCTCAACTATACATCACTTAATTTATTAGTAGTTTTATTTTGTGTGGGCTGTTTAAGCTCTAAGAGAAATTCTCGAATCAAAAGCGTAAAAATAAAATATTTAATTTGATGAAATCTTCCTCTCTGAGTTTATCAGGGTTTCCCCACTTCAGTTCGCTACACTTGGTATTGCTCCCAAAGGGGAGGCGGAAAGGATGCAGTTCTGCGGACGCCGTTGGGAGGCCGAGAAATGAGTGATTAGTTTGTGTGGTTCGGCCTAGGAAGTAGACGTAAAGTGGAGTGTTCTGGCAGTGTGGTGTTGGGTGTACTAGACGCTGTCGATGGCGATAAGAAGTGGGACATCCGGTTTAAGAAGAAAGCCTCACGGCATGCAAAACATCTACAGGAGCGACCGTTTGAAGGGCGAGGGGGAGAATCTGGTGGATGCTTAGTATGCTGACAGTTTTAAGAAGTATGTAGGAACAATCGGAAATAGAATACCGAAAGCAGAAGATTGAAATGAAGAGAAAAGAAAGGAAATCGGAGAGGAAATGAAATAGCAACAGAATTAGAGGAATGATGGACTATGTAAAGGACAACGCAAAGATGTGTAAATGTTATATATGTGTGATTTCTATATTTTGCAAAGCCACTGTGTGATTGTTCACTAAACGACAAATTGGATTTCCCCACCTGAGTTCTTGTCTACGACAATACGAGTATGGGAAATACCATTTATTTCCTGAATTTATTCTGATGGTACTGTCCAAAATGAAAATTATAAATTCGTTCGGCGTGCAGAACAAAATGACTCCAATAAAAAATTGACATAAATCCAAAAAAAGTTTTTATCAATAATAAGACCTACGGAAATGTTGTCTACAATTAAGTTGGGAAATAATTCATTTCCGTCCCAATAAGTCCAGGATTCGAAGTTCCTGTCGGCTGCATTCATCACAGCGTTACATTCAACCGTATATATTGAATCTGGATTGCCATCAGGAAGACACAGACCGAATTCTGTTAAAAACCGTCCTCCACCAGTGTATTTAACTATACTTCTCGCATTATTGAATGCATAATTCAAGAGAAGCTACACACAAGCAATATCAATATTAACATTGATTAAGTATGTGAATGATTATTGCAATAAAACTAGACTACAATAAACTGCATACACTGCGTCAAAGCAATAACACATTAATCATTTTGTTCATTGACCTATCAATGATTACATTTATGACTGAGCCGTAATTCAGGAATCACCACAAATATATGAAGAATGAAATTAGTTATGAAATTCCACACAGTATGAAGGACGGTTTGAATACATTGATTGTTAGTGTATTCATGAAATCACATCATGTCAGTTCATTCAATCATCAAACATTTATTTTATAAATTGATTAGCACCTATTACTATTAATTACAGTTTTCATGTCAAATCATAGTGTTTAGATTTTCATTCCTAGATTACTCTACAGTAATTAAATTAAGTTGAGTTTGTTTCCTGGTGTTTTGTTCAACCCAATCAGTTCATCATTTATTAAGGACACATTAAACATTTATCCATATCAGTTGTAACTACCATTTGTATTTTAAAAGAAATATCCACTGTTTTGCCTAACACCATACATTCAGTATGTGCAGACCGCAAATGGGTGCTCGATCAAACAAAATAACGTGTTTGTCAATTTCATTTTTACAATTGATGTCATACAGATTGGTGCGAATAACAGAATAGAATTTCACTTCCCCTTGTATCTATCGATGTATTAATCAGATTGGAATTTCACTTTGTTTCATAAACTGGAGATTGTGTCAACACAGAACATGTGTACAATTGTATGCAAAATCCTATGGTGTTTATGAATGGGTTTCAATAAATAACTGAGTTTAATCACAGCTACAAAATAGCTGATTATACTTTGAAAGATAACACAAAATACATATTAATCCAATGCTTCTATTTACACTTCCACTGTTAGTTTATAGATGGTTTTGGCTAATTCACTATATCTCAAGAATACAAAGATGACAGAATCCATACTTATCATTGCTGTATAGAATTATTCGTCATTGTTGTTTATTCATCTACGCCCAACTTCAGACACACCCATTACTATAACTTTAGCTAGTTAGGGTGATTCATAGAACATAAATGCTATTACTGTATAGAAGGAATGTGGAAATTCCTCATCTTATTTAACTTGTTTTAATCAATTACAAAGTACACAATCGTTCTAACAATTTAGCAAACTTCATCATCATCATCATCATCATCATCATCATCATCATCATCATCATCATCATCATCATCATCATCATCATCATCATCATCATCATCATCATCATCATCATCATCATCATCATCATCATCATCATCATCATCATCATCATCATCATCATCATCATCATCATCATCATCATCATCATCATCATCATCATCATCATCATCATCATCATCATCATCATCATCATCATCATCATCATCATCATCATCATCATCATCATCATCATCATCATCATCATCATCATCATCATCATCATCATCATCATCATCATCATCATCATCATCATCATCATCATCATCATCATCATCATCATCATCATCATCATCATCATCATCATCATCATCATCATCACATCATCATCATCATCATCATCATCATCATCATCATCATCATCATCATCATCATCATCATCATATTGTTTACTGTGAGTATTTCCATGGTGAAAATAAATGAATTGTGATTGGTAATTGATAAATATGGGCTAGTTTATGGAAGTTTTTCAATCAATTCTAAGTAAATAAATTCTGAAGCACGTGAATGTCTTGGTGTTGTTTCCATTATTGTTATTATTTTAATTATTATTATTATCATCATTTCTATGTTTGGTATCCAATCTATAATTTGTCAGCGGATCGGTTTTCACAGAGAATCAGCATCAGTGAATGTATTACATAGAACAAGAAATATTTATATGAATCATTGTCTTATAGCGTAACATCTCAGGAGTAATCACACACAATTACAACAGATGTTAGAGCACAAACATTTGAAATGAAAATGTAGACCTCTGACATAAAATATAACTCATTAAATATTACTGTTAAGTCAATTCACGATGGCGCTCGATGATCGTGCAATGTCATAGATGACAAACATCTCAACGTTGATATGGCTTAACGATTTCTAATTCAGATCTAGCGAAATTTCTTAGTGTGCTACATGGTTTCGGGAACGAAAATGAGCTACAAGTACTTGCCTGAGTTTACTCAAATTTATTTTCCTAGTCAATTTTTACATATTTAATGAGGGTGTTGATAATGATCAGCTATATAGATGAAACATGTGCGATAATAACTTCACACGTTTACATAGATGAGAGATAATTTCGCTTCGAAATTTCTGTCAAGGACTAACAAACCAAAACCAACAGATAACTCTTTTCATAAGTCATCGAGTAACTCAATGGCATTAATAAAGTATTTAAAGGTGAAAATTGTGAAGCACCTCAGAATTACAACTAAACAAATGTTCATGGTCTAAAGGATTCGAGTGGTCAATCAATCATTTTAATATCATGATCGAAATCAGTTGAAATATTAGGAAAGGGTTATATCTAATAATGAGGCGATCAAGAGTAAAATCTCAGCAGATCTAATGCTTCATTTTTATAATATTTTCAAGAGTATTATTTTTTATTTGAACACATGAATATTGGTACAAGAGAGCGCCAATATATATGCAGAAGTTAAAGCCTACTTTCACATGGTTGGTATTGACAAAACTTGCTTAACGAAATATCCAAGATTCCAAATTGTTTAACTCACATCCAATAATCAATGGCGTTCTTACTATATGAAATTTGTTCAAATAATTAAATTTTGGGCTTGACAATAACGCAAGGAATTCAGCTGACTGAAGCTAAATTGACAATCATCGTATGCTAAAGTGCTGATCTGAAAACGCACTCGCTAAGACATATTAAGGCTTTAGGTTTGATTTCTGGTAGGGTTGTAAGCACTCCCTACAGAGCAGTGAATAGTTGTCGGGTTAACGTCAGGATATGGTGTGAAATGTAAATGGCATTTTATTATGAAAATACTTTCGGTCAGCGGTCCTTCGACGTTTAACTTGATTGAATGAAGCTGTTCTGAATATAGATCCAATCATTTATTTATTTAGAAAATATTATTAGGAGTGACAACAGATTTCAAAATTTTCCAGTCAAGTCTGATAATCAAGTTACGAATAAAATGAAAGCCAGTTAGCTTATGCTAAAAAATATCAGTTGGTTAATGTTGATATTAAAGCATCGAGACATTGGAATGCATATGCGTTACAAACAATAAACCAGGTAATTGAACTCTCACTTTATCACACAAATATCGTTTCCATGATGGCATATTCTCTGTAGATGGTGTCGATTCCAATAACCAACAGTAGTAATGATAAGATAATACACTCTTCTTTCTGGCCGTCTCATCTTGTAGTAAACCGGGAACACGTTGGATACCAGTACCAGGTATTCCATTAACAAATGGAAAATATATTCCATAAGTTACACTTTCGTAAAATATCAATGTATTCTTGTCTGTTTGGCGAATAACATTTACCAAATAATCATAAAATGATAAGAGATTGTGACCTGCATTATCTGTCCGAATATAAAATGAAAAAGATCGGAATTGTAAGAATGGAAATAGATTTTGAGAATGAATATAAGTGAAAGTTGACAAAAACAAACATATCTGTTGCGGACAGAATGTTTTCGGGAAGATAGATTGTGGTAGGTAATGAAATTCACGACGCTCGTTCAATTTTATTGGGGACTTATTAAATGGGTCATCTTACATCTAAGCCTTCGTGTTTGTATTCAAGTTAGGAATATCAATAACAGGGAAATCTATTCTCTTCTAATAATTACAAATGTTCTTCATTTGTAAGTCTTCTTTTGAGATTAAACGATGTGAACAAATCAATCACCCAACATGGCATCATGCATAGTATAGGTTAATGAGTAAGTCAATTAATTTTGGCGGATCTTATCTCGATGTTTGTTTTGTTGATTACATTCACGGTGGAAAACAGACAGAATGAGTGATAATCGTAATAATGAAGATGGCGAATTCCGAAATCACACTGACTGAAATTATAAACACGTAATATAGTTCTACATAACATCTTTTTATTCTTAATACGATTGTCATTATGATCAATATTACTATCATTTTTGCCCATTAATTTATGTGTTCTAAATTATCACCAACAAAATATTGAATAGCTAAAGACAATAGACAAATCGTTTTGTTCGTTGTTAGTTCACCTGTTGGTATTAATTGTCATTATGATAATATATTTTTATGCTTGTCATCTACTTTCTAATATTCAGATATATGTTGTTCAATACTGCAGTCGCCATATGCTATTTCTGGATGAATCAGGTTAAAAATGATAAGATGTTCGTTTAATTGCTTTAGTAAATATTTTATTGATAACCATGGCTACGATTGATCACTTGCTTCTAGAATCTGATTGCCATTAGAACTACTCAAATACTGTCAATTCGTATGAAACGTATGAGTTGTGTGATAGCTGCTTATTATCAATCACAAGTTTAAATTGCATAATTATGTTTTGCGATTTCATTTTTATTGAGGTAATGAACCAACCAATGTCAGATCACCATTGGTTACCTGGAAGCACTGGAAGGCCGTTCAGTCTTGAAATTTAACTTCTCAGCAGTGAGCATCCATGGTCCTGCAAGCGGACGCGCACTTTTGAGAAACCACGTTTTAAGACGAGATGGCCATCCGGTGTTTCAAGGTTTTCAATAGAAACTCGACAGTTTCCACAACTCTAAACTGATAATTTTGTTTGTTAGTGAGATATTGTCACAATGGCATGTTGCAAAATATGAGAGATATTTTCACATCCAAACAATGTCAAGAACAAAGCGACGTGAAACTCCAGACAAGATGAAGCGAAAGTGGTCGTTTTATATATTTGTATCAATCAGCAAATTTCTTTTGAATCCAACGTAATCTCTGTTGCAGTCGAAACCGTCATTGAAGTAACCTGACAACAATGAATTTGTCGATTTTAGTCATTTAGGTTTGGTATTGAGATTCTGTGCTGATGTACCTTTTCACTGAAATGATCAATATAATGGAAACAGTATTGCCTGTATTTTTTATATAGGCGACTAAAATTCTTTAGTCGAACCAACAGAAGTGAAACTGGGATTTGGAATTAATTGACTTTCCATTTTAATTGGAACTTAGAACATTTGATTCGTAGGAGGTTACACCGAAAAATAATAAAGAAAAACGAACCTAGTCCGTTTCTATGTTAACTGTTTCATCAAAATATCAACAGGCAAAACGTAGTTGATGAATGTAGTCTACAATCAATTAACAGTGCTAATGAGCCACAATGACTAAAAGCAATCACGAAACATCATACAGAATTTTAATAATATTCAACAAAATACTACTAATAGCGAAATGCTAACTTCATGCAACTTACTGGGCAAAAGAAGGATGGATTTAAATAAAAATTTCCAGGTGGTGGTTCATTTATCAAATTATAACCTAAAACATTATCTTTCTACCCGAAACGACTAGTTGTTATCATCCAATATTCTGCAAAATAATTCCATATTCCTGAAACATTTTTATATATACTTTCAAATACATGTGCACTCTCATATGTGACGTAGGTTAGAAACCAGTCATCTTTACCCGGATCTTTCGTTAGTGGCCAAGGGTATTGAAATAAATATAGTGGTCGCTTTATTTTATCCATAAACCAATTAGGCACAGCATCAATTGCACCTAGACGTTTCGATAATCCATCTTGATGCAAATCAATGATGATATAAACTCCATATAATCCAGCATTGTCGATAATCGTTTCAATGATATCTAAGTAGTGTTGACTGATTTCGTTTTCCTGTGGTTTTAATGCTATCCAGTTGAATTCTAAGCGTATAACATTAATTCCCAATCTCTAAGTACTCTGAATGAATGAGGGTCAAGTAGTTTTGGAAAGTAAAATGGTGCGACTTAATGCACACAGTTGATTCCATGAAATAATTTAATAAATCCTTGTGGATCAACGAAGTGACCAGTATCATCGTCAATAGTGACTTTTGCATGAGCTTCTGAATGGAAGAATTTTGGTAGTAATATCATTATCCATGACAAACGTAAGAGTGCATCAACTGGAACGTTAATAAAGCCTCCAAGAAGTTTATGTTGCTTTGAAGATCTTGTCGATCTCATCGAAGTGAATAAAAATTCCGTTTAAAACCACAAGGACAATGTAATAGGTTGGTGATTGACAGTAAATAGTAAATTAAATGAGAAACATATACTCAGTAATTTTATGTTACGTTTTTTCATCAGACATCCAGTCGTTGATTGCTACTTATCAAAATGCACTTTTTGAATAACAATAAATGTAGACTTTTATGTTTTATAGAAAATGCATGACTATTTTGTGGTTACATCTACTGAAGAACATATTACTTATTGAGAATTTAATGAATTGGAAAATTTGAAGGATGTTGAATGTGTGAAATAATAGGGCATTGGAAAAGAAAGCGAGTGTTGATGAGAAACATCTTATTTTGGTGGTATTTGAAATCTTTTCAATATGTTCAAATGCACTACGTTTTTCATTTGAAATGTAAATTCAGTGTATGTGTTACGAAGTCCATTATAATAGGCATCTAGCGATCTTTTCAATTCATTTCGTTTCTTTGTGTCTACTAGAATTATTACTGAGATCATTTGATGACAAATATTAGAAAACGTGACATTCTTATTTCTATGTAATTCTAATGAAATCTACTTCAATACAAAAGTATAGTCAATGCTTGTATTTTGACTAAAAATAATATGAAAACCGTCCATAGTAATTATAACTTAGATCTGCAGGTGAGGTATTTCAAAAATGAACACAACGCAAAAGCTCTCTTGACGTTAATAATGTAAACAAATGATGTAAGCGTGGTGTTTACGAGATCTATGTGGCATTCATAATCACTTAAGCAATAAACACATGATTATTTAATCTTAAATTGTGGATTGAATCGGGTAGAATGAGATCTTGATCTTTTAAAATTCAAATTTTCATACCTTATGCACATATTTCCTTCTATTTAATCCGTTCAATAATACTGTCTTCATTACAAAGGCAACATAAACCAGTAAGAAACAATGTAAAACTTTAACTATTCTAATAATAATAAATTATGTATAAACCTTTTTAATTTAAATCACAAACATGTTTGATGTTTATGTGCTGAAAAATGAACACTTACATTTAACTTTCGTAACACATTAATAATGAATTCAGTCTAAATGTGATCAATCTAAAGAAATGTTTTGTTTGCATTTTAACAAAACATTTAAATAAATGTATTTTATTGTTGACACGGAAAAAAGATTATTTTTGTAGGTTTTCTTCTGCATAAAACATGAATTTGTATCTTATTTCTCAACCATAATGTTCTGAATAGTGAGTTTTATTTTAAATGTTTTAAAATCAAATAATATTTCTGAGACGTTTTCTATGCTTAAAAGGTGTATCATATCCAGTACTTAAGTTCATTTGGAGATCATTAAATCAGTAAATACTTCATATTAAAAAGTAATTGCCATCATTGATTTCCTCTGACATATATTTGTATTTCGTTTGTTATTTTTTGACTGTGAGGTACCGAACATGTTTGTAACAGATAGTTGCGTATAGCTCTACCTAAATGATGTAAAATCCTTAATGACTATAAAACTCCGATATTTGGCACTCAATTACGAAGTAAACGGGAAAATAACAAAATGGGAGGTAGAACCTGTACCAAAATTTGAGGGATTTAAGAATTTTAAAGCCTCCTGATTCCTACCAAGGCGGGAGGTAGAACCTAGTGAATGATAAAAACATTACTGATAGATTCAGCCTTCGTGAACAAATTGAAGAACAAAATACATATAATCAAGTGATATGATGAGAGACAATTATGTAAGTCTTCTGTTTGTGTTCATTTGTTTACCCAAATCCGATTTAAACTACATAATCTAGGTATATTGATAGTATCGATCCGTGGTTATACCGCTGCTTTATGAGCAAGTTTCTGATCGTAAGAGTAGGGTTACTTAGACCAAGTATACAGGTTTTAAGTTTGACTTTGAGAAAGTTACATATACTAAAAAATCTAACCCATGAGTTATGTCCTAAGCCCTATTTTTCTTGGGAGTTTGAGTCCTAGAATGTAGCGTCTAAATATATTGTATTTTATCGTGAAATATCGTTGAACTCCTTCCAAGTTCAGCGTATCAGATAGACGCAAATTGCTAAATATAAAATAGCATTATTCATGGACAGGTTTTCCGGTTAGCGTTTTTTTAGCGAGTTACTTTTCTACGGGATGGGGTTGCTAACCCGATGTCCAACCATTCTCCATTATCCGTGATTAGGACCGGCAGTATCCCCCGAGGGAACTTCAGATGGAGTTCTCTTTCTCCTGGTGATCGACTGGATCATGAAGACGTCACAATCTGAAGGGAAGCACGGAATACAGTGGACATCTAGGATGCATTCGGACGGTCTAAACTTCGCAGATGATCTGGCCCTTCTATTGCAAACGCAACA